GTACATTGATAATTTTAAGAAGCTAACAATAATAATAATAATGAAGTGCAGAGGTCGCTTGGTTCGGACTGATTTCTCTGCTCTAGCTCAAAGTAAAATGCTGAATGCTTCATAAACATTTTTCAAAAGCATTCCTCTTGTGAATTTTTGCCTTATCCGCTTGTTTCAGACCACGGATCCTCTCCGCTCCAGTCTGGACCAGTGCAAAACCATGAACACTGTACTGCAGCAACATCTCAAGTAGAAAAAAGTAATAACTGTTTTAGAGTTACTTAGGACTCTCTGCCGTTTCCAGCGCATATGAGTGACATGAGAGAATGGAAAATACACAAATCTGTAAAGTGCTTTCTGTGGCCAGGAGAGTCTAAGGACATTGATGACCGGGGACATTTTAAGAACATATATAGACATTTATGGACATTGGTTATCCGCTTCTTATGGACCAATGGCTTCTATGTGTTTCCTATGTTCGGAACTGTTTGATTCTCTTATCTGATATTCAGGAATCAAAAACGATGCTAAGTCCTTCGAGATGACTGCTGTTGTGATTTAGGGCTATACAAAAAGTAGTAATTGAATGGAACCTTTGATTGTAAAATTTGTTTCATAAATTAAATTGACTTACTTAATTACTCTTAATGAAGTCCTCTGAGATCACTGTTGTTGTGATTTAGGGCCATAAAAAATACATTGAAAACATTGAATTGAATTACTTAGTGCTTAGTAGCTGCTGTTTGCCAATATGGGAAAAATACCAAAATCTTGCTAACTTTAATACTTTCAGAATACTTCCTCAAAAGTCTTCATCAATAAGAAGGAATGTTGCCATTACTCCCATAACAATATCATTCTGAAAATCTCTGTATTTCCCAAACACTCAAGCTCATTTTTCACAGTAAAACCATTCTCCTGTAGAGTGGTCTATATTTATTCAGCTTCACCTCCCGCGCCGCTGTGATTTCATGCTCACTTGTCCCGTCTGTTGCTTGGTCCCGGGCCCCTCCCTGGTCCCCTATAGAGTCCATCACGGCTCATCTCTGCTACAGGGGCCCTCCACTGCTCTGCCCACCAACGCTAATCTCCTCGCCAGCAGGACGGAAACATGCTTGTGGACTATTCCGCCATTTTTCAACAAATGGCATTGGTGAAAAATGGCTGGTTACTTTTCTACAGCATCCAAATCCAAACTGCGGCCCTCGGGAAAGTTGAGGACCCCTCAGCAGTTCTTGGTCTGCGTGCGTCCTGCTGTTACACCTCCACAGTTAGTGATGAGACGGGCTTTTTATGACATTTTTTGCTACATACTTGAATCTACAGAAGTACAGTTTGACATTCCACCTGGTCTGCATTTCGCCCCTTGATCAAAAATGTTTGGACACCCCTGATTTACGTGGTGCATTCCCAAGTCCAATATTGGTTGTTCAAAAATGTAATGTACATTGTAAGGTCTGGACTTTTTTTAGTCCAATGCAAGTATTTTGAGTATGTGTGGAATCAGATGTGTTACAACATCAGCATGAAGCATTCAAATTAAAAACTCTGGATTATGTAACCTAGATTTGAATATTGTCAGATTAGAAACCTGTCTCACATTTTCAGGAAGACTGTTGCAGATTTTAGCTGCATAAATCTGAACCGCTAACTCCCCATTCTTAATCCTGTCTCTCCGGCATGGGGCCAGTCCCTGTGCATCTCAGAGTCCCAGCAGGAGGCCAGTCCGTGCTCCTCAGAGTCCCAGCAGGAGGCCAGTCCCTGTGCTCCTCAGAGTCCCAGCAGGAGGCCAGTCCCTGTCCTCCTCAGAGTCCCAGCCGGAGGCCAGTCCCTGTGCTCCTTAGAGTCCCAGCAGGAGGCCAGTCCCTGTCCTCCTCAGAGTCCCAGCAGGAGGCCAGTCCCTGTGCTCCTTAGAGGCCAGTCCCTTAGAGTTCGAGTTGGTTCATATGGTATAGTAACATGTTACTGATGTACTTGCAGGCGGCACGGTGGCTGAGTGGATAGCACTCTCGCCTCTCAGCAAGAAGGTCCTGGGTTCGAATCCCGGTCGGACCAGGGCCTTTCTGAGTGGAGTTTGCATGTTCTCCCCGTGTCTGCGTAGGTTTCCTCCGGGTACTCCGGTTTCCCCTACCACTAAAAATATGTACAATAGTTCTGGCATGTGCCTCCTGTACTGGCCCCTCCCATCTCTGTGTGGAGTGAGAGACAAATGCCCAAAATTAACAATTGTAAACCGCTTTGAGACTCAGATCTGCAGTGAAAAGGCGGTATATAAATAAAAACGTACTAAAAAAAAACGTACTTTGGTGCAAGGCCATGGAGAGACTTGTAGAAAAGCAGAGCTGCTGCAAAGTAAGTAAGTAATATGTGCAGTATTTATAAAGCGCCTGTCACAAAGGGCTTTTCAATTGTTGTGGGCATTTGTCTCTCACTCAACACAGAGATGGGAGCAGGGTTGTAGGTGCAGAGACCTGAGAACCAGACTAAAGTGAACATACTTCCTGAAATTAGTCAGGACTGAAGCTGCAGCGTGGCTCGAGTCCTAACCTCCAGCCGTGACCTGTAGGTTCTAATATTCACAGTGATGATACTTCTGAACATGTTAGCAGCATGAGGCTCCGGGCGGAAAGTAAAATGACAGTGGACATACGTAGTCCCATGCATATTACACAGATACATGACATATCAGGTCAGGCCAGTAGTCTCACTCAGTCTTCATTGTTCATAGTACAGTCTGATAGCACCAGTAAAGAGAGACCTGCCAAACCTCTCCTTCACACAGCGAGGGTGGATCTGTCTGTCACTGAAGCTGCTCTTCTGCTCTACATACAGTTTGTTTATTACAGACACACAAAGCCTCGTATATAATCACCAGTTTTGCATAAATACGCTGCCAAATAGAAAGGGTGTCCAAGAATAAGTTATGCATACACAATAAAGGACTTTTAAAGACACGTTACAAGACCTCTAACTGGGAAAAAGCAAGCAATTAAAATGTGTGAATTAATTTCCACTTGAGTTGAATTTAGCATTTGCTTTCACCTTTCACTAATATTATTTTAAGCAGCAGTCTGCGTGTGTACTCGCTCTACAATCCGTGTTTGCGCAGACTCGGGGGAACTTTGACAGGATGTGCGCCTCGTGTTTTGCAGCCTTTGGTGAAAGATTAAGCAATGTTTTCTTAAATTAGCCCGGCAAAACACGTTAGCATAAACATAAAAGGGAGGCTTTTTATCGGCAAGGTCAGTAAGAGCTCATTATGGCTGCGTTTGAATAATTAGCGCGCGGCTAACGGGGAGTGCAGTGAAACAACAGTGGCCAGGCCTTTTGAAGTGCTAAAGGAGTGCTTATTCCCTTAACCGCGCTAAAACGACGCGGCGATGGATAATTTAGGTTAGAGGCTGGGCGCTGACAGCTGGGCAGCATTGAAACGCGACCAAATCGACATGAATCACAGGCTTTTTCACTAAGTAGGTTAATATCTGAGACGCATGAGGAGTGTTTTATTTAGCGGCTTGACAGGAGGAGAGGAGCTGGCGGTGGTGTGATCTTAAATGAGGAGTTGACTCGGATTACTGCAGGATGTTGGAATGCCGTTCGGTGGTTTTAACAGACGCCGAATGTAATTAAGACTTAAGCGTGGTGGCGATAATTCAACGCGCATTTAAAACTTAGATTTAACTTCTCTGTTGTGGTATTTCTGTGGTTTCGGGTTGATCTTTGCCGATGCCGGAGGGTCTAAGAATAGCAGTGATGATCTAGGATATTTAGGTACATTGGACATCCTGCTCCCTATGTACCAATCGCTCCAAACTGTTGATTTTCTGATCTGTGTTGGAGAATCGAGTCCTCCAAGACGACTGCTGTTGTGTTTTAGGGCTATACATTGAATTTAATTGGTACGTTACGAATGGCTGGGGATGGATCAAATTCAAAGGAACATTTTCCCAATAAATGGACCTTAAAGTAAACCTATAAACCTTAAAGCTGCGGTACTTAACTTTCCAATCCCACTAAATGTATTACGTAGTCACTCATTTCATCAGTTCTCAACCCAAAGGTTCAAATAGACACTCACAAGGCTCTTTTCCGAGTACATGCAAAATATATTCTGTTTTCTAAAAAGCTCAAACTAGCATGTTGTAGTCTGATTGTGACTCTTTCAGTTGGGACAAATCCAAACATTATTAATGAAAGAAAGAAAGTTAGGTACCCCAGCTTTAATATGATGTCTGGTATAATGGAGCTGGGGCCATGGACAAGCACTTACAGTATTGTATAAAAATTGTCCAGCTTGCCTTAGCAACTGCCTAACAACACATCTACCCCTGTTAGATAGATACAGAGATACTTTAGTGATCCCTGGAGGAGAAATTCAGGTGTCCAGCAGCAGCAAAACACATCCATCACAAAAAAATAAATAAAATTGATCTAAAAAGCAAACATCAGTAATAATAAATTGCTACAGCACTTTGGGTCACAGCAGCAGAGGTGGAGAAGCCGCTGGGTTCGGACCATTTTCTCTGCTCTGATCCAAAGTAAAATGCTGAATGCTTCATTAACATTTTTCAAAAAGTTAGCATTCCTCTACTGGATTTTCACCTGATCCACTTGGTTCAGGGCAAACCCAAGAACACTGTACAGCAGCAACATCTCATGCAGAAAAAAAACAAAAAAACAATTGTAAAGCACAAAACTACAACTGTTTTAGAGCTACTTAGAACTTGCTGCCGTTTCCAGTGAATTCAAAAGTACTACGCGACACTAGCGCAAGGTAAGAAATTCTAAAGAAAATGGACTCCTGCTAACTTAAGTACAAATCGACATCTTCCTCATTAAGGCTAGCGCTGCGGTGATGTCAGCACTAGGTCAGTCCGCTCCAAGCATACTGCTCCCCGTCCTCTTTCTGATCCGGCCCTTCCTCCTGAGCCCTGGAAACATTAAACAAGTGCTTTGTAAGTGTGCTGTCATTACTATTCATCACAAATAAATACTTAAGCACTGAGAGCTTAGTGCCCCACCGTGCTGCGATGATCCATTACGGCTGACACCTGCTCGTCCTGGTCCGGGCCGCGTCCCGCAGTCTCCCTCCGCAGGCGCCCGGTGTCCTTCAGCCCAGCGGGTCCCAGGGCGGCGCCGGTGCCAGGGCTCGCTGTCCCACATTCAGTGCCCTCACGTGGGACGCGAGGGGCCATGGAGGGACTGTGCTCGGAGCTCCCCAAGACGGCGTCCTTCTGCTGTTTTTAGCACCAGAGGAAAGCTAGATCCAGGATGTGTTGTTGCTCTCATGTAACTGTTAATGCATTTTGTAATGTGTGAGTAAGAGAGAAAAAGTCAACGTGTGGTGACTTATGCAAGAGACCAAAAAGTAACCAAGTATTTTATGACTATTGTTATCTACTTTTAGAATGATGTATTTATTTGTTTTGTTTGAATGGATGGATGTTTTTTCTGCAGCTACTTGGCACTAGAAGTTCTCCTACAGAGGTCCATTAAGTATCTATCTATCTATCTATCTATAAAACAATATACAAAAACACAACTAGTTTGTAGCTGCTATGTCACTAGAACTGCCAACCAGTCAATATGACGGCTTTTAGTTTTGTCAGCGTATGTACATTTTTAGTTTTTATAACTATGTGACATTTTCGGTATCTATGTGTAGTTTATTTTGATACAATCATCTTTTATCTTTGACATATGAGTTTTTCTTTTTAATCAAACTAAAATTCTTTCTTTGGCGTTAAAAAGCTCCTCCTTCATGGGGGGCTGGTTCTGAGCCAAGTCAGCTAGTTACCATAGCAACACACTTTTTATTTATCAGCAGTTGGGTCTTTAGCATTAGCCTTTCAACAAACTCATTCAAGTTTCAAGTTATATCCTCATGTTTTAGCACTTATTTAACAGTATATTAGATAAATCGGATGGAAAACTGTACATTTTTGGGGTAATCTCTCAGAATCCCATTGGTTTGAATGGAAGCTGTCAAAAAGATGGCTCTGGGAGTTCTTTTAGTTAGTCGGGAGCTACATAAAAGTATACCCCCTATAAAATAATAGCTTCAAAATACCTTTTTGGACAGTGGTGATGATCCAGGACACTCAATATTCAACAACATTTATGGTCATTGACTTTCTACCCTTTATAGATAGATAGATCTTGATTGATTGATCCCCCGTAGGAGATATGGACCAATACCAATGTGTTTTCTGTGTTTCTTGGGTTTTAATTGTTTGATTCTCTGATCTGTGTTGGCAATTTCAGCGGTTGTGTAAAGTCCTTCAAGATAACTACTGTTGTGATTTTATACTGAATTGAATTGAATTGATTAATGTATAAAACGATTATAAGAAAAGGGCATTCCATCTGCTTCAGCCTTCGACCAGTTCCGATTTTTCCATTCGGCCCCTGACCAAAATGAGTTTGACATGTCTGCTCTAACGACATGTTGGCTATCCTTCCTGTCCACTGCTCTGTCCTCTGGCTGCTTTTGGAAGGTGATCGCGGCGCTGTGGGCTGCTGGCTCCGCTGATATTGTGCGGTGGTCGTGGCCAGGCCGGTGTGCAGGCTGATGTATGGGCGCAGAGATGTGGCGCGGCAGCCGGCTCGGAGCGCCAGTGTGCGGACGTCAGGCGCCATCACTGCCCGCTCGTGCGATGGGGCAAATCGGAGAGACAGCCCTGACAACTTCATTTAACACCAGAGCCTGAGGAAGCCGAGTGCCACTGAGCTCTGGATAATTGATAACTCCCAAGTCCTCAGCTTTCCACCGGTTTATCGCACACACATGCACACACACATGCACACACACACACACCCAAACACACACAAGTCACAGCGAGATAACGCCACGTTTAAAGTACAAGAACTGTTAATGCCGTAAAGTTACACAAGCAATCAGTGTTAGATCAAGCAGAGTTAAGGGCAATGGTGTTGATACTACTCTACAAACTGGGGCAACCTTTCAATTCACCTTTTTTTTTTTTTTTTAACCATGCAATAAAACTCCAGCTAAATACGGGTAGTTCCTCGCTCTCAAAGCAGAAAAGCAGAAAAGTTATTCTAATGATGAAGACAAACTACTATGTGTTTTTTATTAACGTTTTAAGAGACGTTTTGACAATTCTCTTCAATATAAACATTTATATATGGTGTGTGTATATATATATATATATATATTATCTTCAGCTTTGCCTCGACCATAGTTGAGGGTGAGAACATTGACTGACTGGTAAATCTATAGCTTAAAATGGACTTAATCTTATTTTGTTGGTATTTTGTGGTCTTTTTTGTGTTAAATAAAACACATTTTGACAGATAGTTTCACCCTTAGCAGTTTCTATAAATAATAATCATGCAAAAAGACATTCGCAGAAAAATTGCCAAGACCGGAAGTGACGTACACTTAGGTGTCATTGGGCTTTGTTGATATGCATTTGTAAGCCATAACGTTGTATACGGACATTTTAAACAGATATTTGTTATTCAGATATTTATGAGCCCTTGCGCACTTGTTATGACAGTAATTCTGATTTTGAGGACTCTGACTCGGTTCAGATGAGGAGCAAGCTTCAAGAACTCAACATTTCCACACAACACAAAGCGTCATAGCAACACAGTGCACCTACTGCTCATGCCCAGAACCGGATCTAGCCAAAATGCTAGTCGTCCGCCCAACTTCAAGCATCGGCCCCCGAGCACAGGCCTTTGACTTGAATGTACCGCCATCTTGGAAACCCGGGGCTTGGTTAAAACTCAAACTTGTCTGTCTTCACCTGTTGTTTCCATGTTATTCCACATCATTAAATGTATAATACGAAAACTATAAAAGACCAGTGCAACGTTTTACACACCATCCACTCACAATTATCTTTGGTCTGGATCCTGGAGATGCCTCTAAACGTCTCGTCTCCCTCTCAGTAGCAGCTCTCAGCTCCGGTTTGAGGCATGATTCATTTAGCTGCTGTTTACAAATGCTGACTGCAGTTGGACAGGATAAGCGATGTTGCCCTTGCTTTGCTTTGACTCTCGTGCGGCGCGACGGGGGAGAGCGAAGCCGCCTGGATCCTCTTCACAGGCGGCCGCGAGAGCTCCGCGTCGCTTCACTGCTAATGCCCATTAATTACTAATACAAAGCGCTAATTAGCCGACCAAACACTGGCATCTGTACTGTTGCTTTTCCCCGCAGCGATGATATTGAGTCCATCACAAAGTCGAGGAGAACCTGACGCGGTGAGGCCTAAAGGGACAGAATGTTTGAAGCCAGGATTACGTATAGAGGTCAAAATATGAAAATGTGTAAACGCAGCCGCGAGAAGAGGACATAGGGTAAATCTTTGGTGATGTTTGATTTAGCGTTTTTATGATCGTACATGCTGAGGGTAAGTCCATGGACTCAAGCAGGTTAAAGATGAAGGTTGACGTTAATACGTTTATAATTACGATTGAGAATGATCTCTAATTCTAACTGACTTTAAAAGCTTGAGCCTTTCACAGTAAGAAAAGTGTACAGTCAACCTACGTTTTCCCATCATGCTTTTCTCAGGGAAATCCCCGTGGAACCTTCTGTGATTAAGTCTAATTGTTTGTTTGTATGGATGCAAAAAACATGACAGTATGGATCTGTCTGTAGCCCTTTGACTGTGGTCTGTGAACTAATCCAAATATGGCCAGGAAGTTCCCAAACTTTCTGGCCACATAATGATTATAAAAACAGCCGGTCATCATAATACAAAGTCAGTAACAGTGAAACCAACGCAGACAGAGGTAACACAAGAGAAAAGACAAAGTGAAACAGTGAACTACAGCACATGAACTTTAAAACTAGAAGCTGTTTGACAAAAGTAGGTTTTAATACGTGATTTAAAAGAGGGTACTGATGGTGTGAGTGGCCTTATATTTTTTAACCGTTGATTCTCTGATCTGTGTTGTAGGTGATTTCAATGGTTTGGTTAAGTCCTCTGAGATTACTGCTGTTGTGATTTAGGGCTATACAAGAAAAAATTGTATTGTTTTGAATTGTATCTCCTTGCACAGGTCGTTCCAGAGCTAAGGAGCACAGACTGAGAAGGTTCAATCACCCTTCGTCCGGAGCCTCGACCTTGGAACGGCCAACAGGGACCTACCCGAGGAGCTAAGGCTGCGGGGGTTAAAAGTGAAGTAAGTAAGTAGTAAGTAATCTTTATTTATATATATACTGCCTTTCACAGACCAGAGTCACAAAGCCGTTACAATTGTGGGCATTTGTCACTCACTCCACGAAGAGATGGGAGTTGGGTCAGTACAAGAGGCGCATGTCAAACCTATTCTACATGTTTTTAATGGTAGGGGAAACCAGAGTACCTGGAAGAAACCTACGCAGACACGGGGAGAACACGCAAATTCCTATCATAAAGGCCCTGTTCCAACCGGGATTTGAACTCAGGACCTTCCTGCTGAGAAGCGAGGTCTATCCTCTCAGCCACCGTGCCGCCCGTGAAAAGTCCAGTGATGCTAGCCCTAGCTTTAAGAAAGTAAATAAGTAATGTTTATTTATATATTGCATTTTACAGACCAAGGTCACCCAAAGCGCTTTACAATCAAAAAGTAACGAGTAAAATCTTAAAATCAATTCTAAAACGCACGGGGAGCTAGTGGGGGGGATGCTAATACAGGGGTAATGTGCTCCCTTCCGTTAAAACCAGTGAGAAGTCACATATTCACTTCCTGACTGCTCCTTCCACTAAATGTATAGTAGTTGCAGTCATATTCTTGAGCGAACAGCAGCAGACATGACTAATCAGAGAAACTCATAATAATAATAATAGCATTTACTTTTATCTCTTCAGCAGCTCTGCATCCTGCTCACGCCTGAGACTCAGCCCAGGCCTGTCTGTCTTTAATTGAACAGCGCATAAGCAAACTCCATTGTTGTGTTCTAAATCTTTGTCAAACACGACGACGGTTTGGACTCGTTCATCGTAATTAGACGGATATGTGACTTTTTACATGAAATGAATACAACAAATAGATGCAAAATGGGCCTTGGTGACTCCCTGTTAGAGGAGGACATACCTATCCCTGTTAGCTTTAGACTCGGAGCGTGTTTGGCGAGCGCGGAGAGGAGAGCAACCAGGACTGCTTTCGTAATGAGTTTGCTCCAAAAGACTGAGCTGTGTGTTATAACTGTAATTAAGTAGAGATTAGATCGCTGGAGCGCGGAGAAGGAGGCGTCCTAAAACACTTTTCTGGCAAGGGCCTTGTTCAGCGTGGGCCGTGCAAATAGGTGCAGCATTGAGAGTAATCCTGCCAATATCCAAACAGACACAGCTGATCATATAAGCCGTAGGTAAGATAGAGACAACCTTTATTCAGGAATCACACAAAAACATGGGAAAAATGCAGTTACAAATGTGTGAAACCTCATATATATTTGATCCATACATACGTCTTATTTATGGAGATATATACAGGCAAAAAGGCTTCTCTTTTTAAGGTGGCATACTCGATGTTAGCCTGTTTATGTTTATGTGCAGTGCATAGTATACAGTAGCTTTTGGCATTGATTTAGTGGTGCAAATACAAAAGGGACGTGTAGACAACATTAGAGAATCCAAAATTAGACTATGGAATTACTATTGTAGCCTTTGTAGGAGGCCTATGTATTGGGAATTAATACATTAAATACAAAATAATCATAATCTAGAGTCACAGAAAGGCACTCAATATAAATAAATACAATCCATTCATCCATTTTCTTCTGCCCAGATCTTCCTATGCCCCCAGACATCTTGTAGTAATGTTGATAGCCCTTTAGTTACAGTAAATATAATGGCGTCATTGTTTATGGATTCATTCATTTTTTCATCAAGCTATTATCCAATATCAGTCTCAAAACCTGAGGGACTGAAAGAAAGCTTGTATGTTTGTGTACAAATGTTGACCCACAATCAAATATGGCAGCGTTTAAAGCAGCAGGTGGATTCTTGGATCGGCTGGAGTCACAGACCTCAGACCTGGATCTGCAGAAGACCCAGGACAGAGGCACTGGATCCACCGTGGTCTTCTGTAGAGAGGAGTTGGGAGTTTTGGTAGAGTCCTGTAGCAGCTATGGGCCAAGATTTTATTTGAATTCACACAGTGTAAAGCATAAAGTAGATACCACAGACAAGGTAACACGTATTTTTGTACAATTTAAGCCCTGATGAGCTGGGATAAGCACGTGGGTTGACTGTCTGTGAAAACTTTGTGAGGGACATCTCAGGAAGAAGTGTGATTGGGGTGAGAGACTTCAGATTCGAAATATTGGGTATTTAGAAGCTGAAGGCTCAAAGCATCAAGTGGAAAATAGCAAACTTCTACATTCTGTTGTGAGGACGAGCACAGTCTGAAGATTAAGCACAAAATGTCTTATAAAAGTACAATACTGTTTTGACTTTGGTCCCTCTAATTGCGTTGCCTGTTATAACCAATAGTTTTAATTTCCTATATATACATTGAAGTCAAACAAGTCACTTTCCAAGACTGAGAAGTGAACCTTTTACTGCCGAATAATGTAAATATTTCTCCCTCCGTCCAAACTCATTCATTCCCCGGCCGGTGTTCGATTAGACTCACTTTCCCTTGGAGGTGGAACGCAGTAAATGAGCGCACATATGTCCACAGAACAATGCGCACCGAGGCTTGTGTGCGTGGGCCCTCCGCTCCCTCCTCCA